TTAATAAATAATATCCACTCAATAATGAAGTATTATTCAGCCATAAAAAGGAATGATGTAATGATACATGCTAAATGAAAAGACTGTGCTAAGTAAAAGAAGTCAAACAAAAGGACATGTATTGTAGGATTCCATTCATATGAAATGGCCACAGTAGGCAAATCTGTACAGACAGAAAGTAGATTAGTGGTTGCCAGGAGATGAGGGATAGACTGAGAATAAATAGGTAAAGGTTGCTTTCTGTAGTGAAGGAAATGTTCTAAAATCAGGTAAGGGTGATGACTGCACTCACTGAACACATATTGTGAAAATCTAATTTTTAAGAAATTCTAAAACTCAATTTTAAAAGTCTGCCTAAAAAGAAAAAGAAAGTTAATGGATTTATATTATCAGATATCAGGACTTAATATAAAGTTGCAGTAATTAAGACAATGCGGCATCAACAAATGGCCAGACAAATGACCAATGAAACAGAAAGACATACACATACAACACTTGATTTATAATAGAGGGAACACTGCAGTGGCGCGGGGAAAGTATAGTTTTTTTCCGTAAATGATTAGATAGCAAAAGAGAGTATTAAAAAAAAATGATTAGAAGAAAATACCCAAAATTCACTAAGGAGACATAAAACAATTGAAAATTATATCAGGTATAGGGATGAGATATAACATATATTAAATTGGAGACTCAAAAAGAAGACAGACAATAGAAGCAATATCTGAAGAGTTAATTGGATGTGATTTTTCTAAAGCTAACGGAAGATATCAAGTAAAAATTCAAGAAGACATCAAGTAAAGATTCGAGAAGCCCTATAAACCTGAAGCAGGATAAATACAAATGAAACCACATGTAGGAACATCAGCAAAAATTTCTGAAAAAAAGAAAAGGGAGAAGTGCAATCTCTACCACAGCTTGAGAAATGACCTTAAAAAAAGCAATACTAAGACTGAGAGATACTGTCCTCAAGGTACGGGGCAAGAAAATAAAAAGACTGACAGGTTTCCAAGTCACTGCCAAAAAACAAACAAACAAAAAGACAGAGGACTTCTAACAAATACAACATAAGGTAAAAATACCAGGGAAGATTATCTTTGAATCACTAGAAAAAAATAACTGCTAACTCAGAATTCTATAACGTGAAAATATACTTCAAGAATGAAGATGATCTTGACCCAAATAAGCTAGATGTAAAATATGATTTTTGTGATACTGAAATAAACAATTACGTATTGAAAATTTGATGATACTGTGAAACCGATTATGTCAATTTAGTTGATTATGATAAAACTTGCCTACATAATAAAATACAATTTATTTAGTTGATTAGGTTAAATGGTATCCGCTATTAAAGAAGTCATCTCTACTATTTAAAATACTTCTGTTTGTATCATATATGGACAGGTAAAAATGATACAATGTCTAGAATTTGCTTTCGAATTTACTTGGGCAAAGGAAAAGAAAAAAAGGCATAAATAAAAGAAATGTGAAAAAGTAACAATAATATTGCAATCTGCATAATGGCTATATGCTTTGTTCATTCAATTATGCAGAAAAATTTGAAATGATTCCAAAAAAACAAAGTGAATCCACTGATTAGTAGACATGAACAAAAAGATACCTATTTTTCAAACCTAAAAAAAAAAAATCACACCAGATAAAAGCTCAAAGGCAAAAAAAAAAAAAAAAAAAAAA